GCCCCCTGCAGGGGCGAGAGGACGCGGCCCTTGCACACCCGGCCCAGCCACACCTGCCCCGTTCGCTCAGCCTTGCACACTCACCCCCTTCCCTTCCCCCCGCGCTGCCCTTGCCCGCTCGTCCTGTCCCTGCTCCTGCCACTCTGTCCTCGCACACTCACCCCCACTTGTGCACACTCGCCCACCCTCACTCGCCCATCGTGCCCCTGGCACCCTCATGCCACACTCTCACTTGCCCATTTTTCCACCCTTGCTCTCTCATCCTGCCCACACTCACCCATCGCCTCCCCTTGCACACTCAAACCCACACCCACTTGTTCATCACCCCTGTCCTTGCACACTCACCCCCATTCCCACCCCTTCATCACACCCAGCCTTGCACACTCATTCCTCCTTCTCATCTCTCCATTGGCCTTGCCCTTGAGCACTCATCCCAAGCCCCATGCTCACTCACACACTCACCCTATTCACTCTTGCCACCACCCTGTCCTTGCACACTCATCCTCCATTCCCACCCTTCCATCTCCCCTGTCCTTGCACTCTCACCCTTCATTCCATCTCCCCTGTCCTTGCACTCTCACCCTCCGTTCCATCTCCCCTGTCCTTTCACTCATCCCCCATCCTCACTTGTCTATCTCGCCCAGCCTTGCACACTCATCCCATCCCATCCTCCCTCACCACCACCCTGTCCTTGCACACTCAACCTACTCCCAGTCCTCCACCACCCCTGGCACACTCGCCCTTTCCCCCCCTTTCCCCATCCTTGCACACCCACCGATGGACACGAGCTTGATGTGTTCCCTCTCCAGGAACTCGAGGGCCACCGAGACGTTCTCCAGCTTCATCTGTCGGAAGTTGGGGCGCGGGTGGTGCTTGCGCCCCATCTTCTTCTGGCTGAGCACCTCGAGCAGCGCGATGAGGCGCAGGCCGTCGCTCAGGTCACGCTGCAGGTCCCCGATGCGTTTCTGCACACACTTGAGGTGCTCATTGCACCAGCGAGTGAATGTGTTCTGCTGGATCTTCTTCCAGGGCGCGTCCTCTGCCAGGTCCTTCTCGGTGGCCGGGAGCTCCTCGGGGTCCTCGCCCGGAGCCGCGTCGAACGAGTTGTTCATCCTGTGGGTCCTGGTTGGGAGGTGGGTCTAGGTGCTGCTGGGGGGTCCCGAGTGGGTGGGTGGGGGTCGTGGG